AGGAACCTAATACTGCTTCTTGACCAAACCAACTTTACCTTGAAAGAAATTGACCACTCCGTATAAACAGTGGCGTATAAATGGATTATGGCGACCAGAGCAATCAAAGATACCACGACAGCTTCCCCTCCCTCCTCCCACTGCCAAACTTTATTTACGTAACCGAACATGCGAGAGAGCAAAGCGACCGGCTTAGGAAAGTCTCAAGGGAGCTTAGCGATCGAGTATGAGACCTATGTAGAGTTTCGCTTCTTGAACATAGATAAGTGGTTTTCTATTCCTTTCCTTCAAAAGTTGAAGTTTTTTCAAAAGGTTGAAAGTTGAATGTATTAAAAAAAAGTTGAATACCACTTTAAAAATGGATCAAAGCAATGAGAATTGTATTTCGAAGTCGAATTTGGAACCATTTGATAACGCTATTTCCCCCCTGGAGCACAAAATTACGAGATCCTGTGCGACATAATTATTCGAGTCGCGACCGAGCTTCAGAAATGTTTTTATTTCTAATCCATTTTACATTGCTCATTGGGGCGCATGTATTCATAAGGAACGCATTTTCTTCCTTTTCTCCGCTCACCCTTTCCTTTTTTCCACGTATTTAGGCTATCTTCAAATACGCATGCCCTTGCCCCCACATTATGCCACTGTAGGTATACGATTAATTGGAGGACCTTGGATCAAACAGGATTCAGTTCAGTTCAGTTCATTTTATTCAAAACCACAAAAAGCATGATATAATCTGTTACATAAAAAAGAGACTGGTAATAGTACATCAATCAACATATTCTAACTTGATTACATCATAAACTGAATGGTTTTAGAACCTCTTTAGAAGCTAAGCTTGTGAGCGGGGCCCTATAGTCAACAAAATACATACATTTACAGTAAAAAGAATGTAATACCTATGATTATACAATGGATGAAAACACTAAGCTACAGAATATAGAATATACAAATACTCTCTCTCTCTCTCTCTCTCACACACACACACACACACACACACACGCACGCACCCACACGCCCATACACAGCAAACACACTGATGAGTAGGTCCTTAGTGGTCAAAAAGCATTTCAGAATAAGAAATTACTAAGATGCAAATAAAAACTATGTCAGTCTTTCAAGTTGGTACGTTTTAGATAACCTTCTAAAACTAGAAAGAGTTGTACTATTCGTTATATCATCAGGCAGACTGTTCCATTCTTTAATGCAAGAGATATGGAAAGAGGTCAGAGTGACATTTTTTCTTGCAAAAGGCTGATGAATAAGACACCTTTGACGTGTATTATAATTATGAATTTGCGAGTTCTGACGGAATATATCTTTTAATGTACATTCATGAGGCATAGACTTAAGATTAAACATAAACAATATACAATTGAAAGACACAAGTCCACTTAGTGGTAACATTCTTAGTCGAAGGAACAATGGAGAACTTGGATGTCTATAATAAGAATTAGTAATAAGCCGTATTGCCTTCTTCTGCCATACTCTCAACTTATCAAGATATGACTTAACCCTAATAACCCTAATAATCCCCTCCACGATTTTTCTGATTGTTCAGGAACGCATATGGATGGCGCCCCGCCGCACAGTGGGCCAGGGAGGAACCAAAGTGCGACAAAACTAAGTTTTGGTGATTTATTTGTTTCAATTTTTTTTCTTGCCCAGTTGAAAGGTAATACATAGAGGAATACATCAGTGAAATATTTAATTCCGGTATGCACAATAAGGGTATAAATTTACTACTTCAAACAGCAAAATCCTACATATTCACAGTTTTAGTGCAAAAGTGAGTTATTTTATAAATCTTTCAATTCAACATGAAGTTTTTAAGTTATTGATATGAAATTGCTCTAACATATTCCTGATAAATTAATAGAAACACAATCTTCATGATATATTATAGGGTAATTCACTGAAAAATGGACTAATTATCCATGTTTTTTATAAATCCAGAAGAAATGTTTAGATCTCCGCGGTGTACCGCTTACATTTTAATACCATCATTTCCTTTGATGTCTAAGCTTTAAGTTGATACCAAATTTGGGTGCCCGATCTTGCCCGTTGTTATGTTAGAGCCGATTTCCCTTGCCACATTGCCCCGAAAAATGTGCGGCTGAATCATGAAGGATTCGTGGTCATAAATCACGGCGCGAGGGGGCGCGTGACACTTGTTCTGCCACCGCGGACCAAAATAAACACATTTTTCGGGGCAATGTTGCAAGGAAAACGGCTCTAACATAATGTAACGGCGACTTATATTGTTCGACAATAGGAAGTAAAAGTCCCAAAATATATTAGCCCCGTTATATGTTGAAGTTTAGTTGTTAAGGATGGCCGAGATTCAGGGAGAATAAACACTCGAGAGGCAGGAATTACAGTTGAAGAGTTTATTACAGCAAACCCAAACACATTTACAAGGATGGATAAAAGAGAATGTCTTGCGAATCAGAGAGGCAAAATAATGCAGCAGGCGTTAGAACAGGCTAAAAAAATAGACTAACATGACTGGAGACCATTTCAGAACAGGTTGCTCTCTATCCCATTCGTAAAGTACTCTCGCTTCAAACACTGTGATGACAGGCTTGTCACACTAACTGACACAGTTAACTCTCGACAGCTCACTAGTTTCACTCTTCACTGACAGATTCTTCGCTCCTAACTGCCTAAGGTACGAATGCAGTCTGTCTTATATACCCTTCGAGAGAAATAGAGAAAGACCAGTCATGTAGGTCACAAGTATCGCGCTGCGGAGTATTTAGGGAGAAGGGCGTCATTGAGCACATAAATAGAGAGCTCAAAGTCATATTGAGAGAGAGGATACAAGGACAGGAGAAAGTCAAGACAAGAAGCAAGCTGAAAGGGCTGAAGGACAGTGCAAGGTTGAAATGAGAGTTTCGGGCAAACAAGAGAGAAGGGAAAGAGCGAGAGCTCTGAAAGTCAGGCAAAGTCAAAGTGAGAAGGGAGAGAGTGAAAGTTCTGAAAGTGAATGCAAGGTCAAAGTGAGGAGAGAATAGAACTCCGCTGTATGCAAAGCAATTGGGATCGAGCTGGCTGGATTTGTAAAAGCGTTATTATAGCAAGACATCCTTAACATAGACTGGTACAATAACCATGGATAGTTGTAAAGTAGACTAAAGCATGGAATAAAATATATACATAATATTACATCAAATATCTTAACCAAACTGCGTGACAATAATAACGGGCAGAATCGGGCAGCTAAATCTGGTATCAACTTAAAGCTTAGACATCAGAGAAAATGTTGGTAACAAAATTTAAGCGAAAATTCTTGGAAATCCAAATATTTCCTCTGGATTTATAAAAAATAAATCCCCAAACATGAGTTTTGGCGCACTTTAGTTCCTCCCTGGCCCACTGTGCGCCGCTCGCTGAATTTTGTCTTTCGAGTCTTGCGCATCTTAAAAAAAAAAAATTGCAAATCGGACCTACAGTTACAAGGTCACGTGACCTTTTGTCATTGCATGTCAGCCCGAAAATCGCTAATTTTTGTGATTTGTTTACAAAACATATGGAAATGTCATTTTTCCTAAAAATAAATCAAACATTGGTTATTGGGTCTTGTTTAAAGTTAAGGTGGTTGTTTTGGGGGTCAAAAAAGTTGAATTGTAGTAAGAAATGAAATAAAAAAGTTAAACAAACAATGAAATACATAAGAAATTATCAAAACAAGCGATAACATAAGGAATAAGCTGGTTCTTTCAAAAAAAATTGTCGTATTATTATTGTAAATGGTCTAATGAATATATGTGGTGAAAAAGAATGCCTAAATTTGAATAATACATGATTTATGGGTAAAAATGTGATTTTATGACCATATTTGCATAAATTACCATAAATATGCAAATGAGTGAATTTTTCAAAAAATTGAAATTATCATATTATTCTATACACTTCACTTGACATGCGTGCAAATTTTTCGAGGAGATCGGCCGTTTCACGGCCGACATCTTAAGGGGAGTCATAATGCCCCCCCCCCCCCCCGGCCGTACTAAGACCTGAAATAACCCGGCCTTTTTATGGTTAAAAGTGTTTCCCCAAGCAACATTACAATATGTCAAATAGGCCTTTTTATGGTTAAAAGTGTTTCCCCAAGCAACATTACAATATGTCAAATAAGGAAGAATAATACTCTTATATAATGTTATCAGCACTCTTTCAGGTAAAATAAATTTTAATCTAAAAATGACACCTACACTTCGGGACAACTTTGTGCAAACAGCATCTAAATGATTTCTCCTAGATAAATGCTCATCCATGGTTAGCCCTAAGAACTGAACTTTTTCACTAAGCGCAACATCATGACCTCAAACATTAAGAAAAGTAATGCCATCTGGAAGCTTTTTACCCTTGGAGCGAAAAATAACACATTTGGTCTTTTGAATATTCAACAATAACTTATTACAACAATACCATGCATAAAGTTTCTGAATCTCTTGATTCGCAAGTAGTAATACATTATCAGCCTTCTTATCAGCCAACAGCAAGCTGGCATCATCAGCAAAAAGTGAGTATGAGAACCACAAAGTGAGTATCACAACTCTCAATAAAAACACTGTACTGGACTCATTCATGCTACTATTAGATGATGTATATTGATTTCTTGAAGAAAATAATACTTGTAAATGTCTAATTATGTCAAAGTATATCTAGGGATTTTATTAGGAGGGGGAGTGATATACTAGTCTATCATTTGAATCCAGTTCTTTAATTATCTTGATGTCTCTTGATTTTAATGGGGGGAGGGGGCATTTCAATAGGAGGTTATGTGTAGGATAAACGTTCTGGACCACACCATGTACTATGTACATTATTTAGACTGCAAATCATGTCTGTTTTATGTATTATTTGGCTAAGCAAGTGGACATTTGCAACCGGTCGCACTATAACTTGCCAATGTCAAAAGTGCATCTCGAAATCGAACGGTAAGGTGACAAAATGGGATTTTGAAACCTCCCCCAAAACTTATCTTTGCATTGAAAGATTAACAATAGTACAGATGTGTATATTTAGCAAGATAAGTCACGTATTGAACAGTGCAACTGGAATGAGGAAGTGTATTTACACGAAAAATACATTAATGGTAACTAAGGGTGCGTTTATGCTCAATGTTGAAGGCAGAATTAAACACAACTCATGTTTGAAATATATCATATAAACATACATTAAAATATCATAACAGGTTTAAATATACATAACATACAGAATTATAATATAAAATTGATGTACGTTGACTGTTTTTTTAATTACTATTATGACATAATGAAAATATTTAACCAAATTTCAAATTCCTTTTTATTAGTAATTAATCTCAATTTGGTGCTAGTTGTAGTATTTGTTGTATTAATATGCCACTCATCGGTTCAAGGATTAAATAGTAATATGGTTATTTACATAAATGATACATGATTGATCAAAAAATGTTTGCATGCCTTTATTAAAAGCAACAATGTGTTCAAACAATCGCCTCAAAGAGTTAATGATTAAGATACGGGGTGATGTATATAAATGATATATTCTAGATGATCGATAAATAAAATGTAGGTTTTAAGCTCCCGGTTTAACATAATCCATATTCACAGTATAAGACCATTATGTTCCATACATGATTATGGTCGTAAAAGGTCTATCTACAAGGACAATTACAACTTGACACCTACCCCCGGACATCAACCGTATGAAAATTTACCTCCGACAACTACCCCGCCCCTAGGAAAATGACAATTATCCAATAACCCCCCGGAAGTTTTCCCCACAAACATACACACACGCACACACACACATATACAAACACAAACACATTACTACTACATGTAGGAAAATGTATTGCGATATATGTATACAATGACGTCTGAATGTGTGTAACTAGTTAAAGGTCCGCATGGTCAACAACATTTTATTAATCAAAGCAGTACATTCACAGTACTAGGAGTAGACATGCATCTTTTCAATACAATAGCTAGCTATATTCTTCATTAATTTTCTAAATTATATGTGTAAAAGTTATCCTTTTTTTTAGCCCATGTTTAGTATTATTTAATCAACACATTATGTGACATTTTGTATAATTGCTTTCGAAACAAAATAACCGAATTAATCCATTGATGTTGTTCATTGTAAATGAAAATCAAAAGACGGAAAAATGCTGACAAGCAAATGTGTGCTCTTTGAAACTTCCAATTGTCTTAATTTGGGGTAAGTACAGTTTCATAATCAGCAACCTCTTTTATTTTGTTTGTTAACTGCGCAACGTTCTGGTTTTCATAATCCAGGTTTGATGATTGTAGACTTTGTTCTCCTGTTTTGGGGTACGAAGCCGTTGAGGTGATAGCAATTTCCTGGTATGTGGTGTCTGCCTCGGATCTGGGTTTTAGGTCCATGTAAGGATCTGGTCTGGTCTCTTCAGTCATGGCTTGTAATTTACGTCTGTTACATACAAAAAAATCACATGAATAAATCCATTTTAATCCACATTCACCACTCTCCAACCATGTGTTAAATGGGTACCTGATAGGATGCAAAAGTCATTGTAGCTTTCAGTGCTCAACATTGTGACCGTTTTTTAAAAAGCGCCTGCCTGAAATGATCCCCAGGGAGTGGAGAAAGTGGATACATTGTGTGCAGGCAAACCTGAATCCTAATACCGGGAAATACTACATCTGTAAAGCGCTTGGAGACATTGTCGATGTATTTTATATCCCCAATATTATTTTCAGTATTATTAATATGAATGATTTTTATTGAACAACTGAAAAGATATTAAAAATAATACCATATCATATTTATCAAACGTAAAAATATGTTATCATTATAGGCCTTTACAACAATTTTATGTATTAAATCTTATATAGTTATTTTTTTATATTTGCTTTGTTTAGTATGATTTAGTGTTAGTATGATCATAAATCAGGAGAAATCTTCATGATATTTCTAATAAATACAACGAATTCCAATCATTAGGGTATCATATTATTAGACTCAAATAGTTATAATTTCTCAAAATGGGAAAGGACGATTCTTTAATAGAAGGGAACCCTTCCAGATCGAGAAGACTCAAGTTTAAAGAGACTTGTTTCCAAATGGACATATTTCTTTTACACTGTCACCCTTTAAGTTGGAATAATTGTTTTTCTCTCTTCTTTTAATGAAATGATTCTGACAATATGGTTTACTCTTGATAGATAAATGTTTATATCTTCTCAGAGCTTTAATTATCGATTTAAAAAATCATAGTGCTATAACCCTTAAAACAACTCATTAGTTGTATCGTGCATATTAGGAGACAGCTCTTTAATGGTTAATGGTAGTACCTTTCTGCAGTTGTTCATTTCGTCTATTTATAACTCGTAAAAGGTGAAATACAGGGCTAAATTAAATTGCATTAACCTTAGATTACCTGAGCTGAATAAGCAAGAAAGTAACAGCAACGGCATACAGCAACAAGACTACAACAACTACAATCAGACCTATTTGCACTCCCGGAACAAGACAATCTGCAAATGAAAGAGGAAACAACAAAACAAGCATTTGATTTACTTGCTTTTTTAAAACCAATGCTTCAAAAAATATTCGTAATTTAAAGAATAATATTAGACGGTGAATTCTTCACGGGGACAAATTAGGTGATCAGTCGCTTTGATTGAGACATAACACATGTAAAAAAAAAAATCAATGGGTGATTTAGTCTTTCAAAAACATTCCACAAACTCACAATGGAAATTAAATACATGAAATAATTGTTTGAATCATCTGGAATTAGATGTTAGTTTTTCTTTTACTGCATGAATATTCATAACATAACATAACTTATTTCCCTGATGAAAAAAAAATGCTCTCTGTGATCTTGATCCACTGCATAACCTAAAGAGAAACGTGTTTCTGCCATATCTACGAGATAAGAACATCTGGCTAAAACTTGTAAACTGCTTGGCTGGTCTAAATATCGATTATCCTACGAATTCTACAAAACATTTTTCTTAAATAATTAACTTTACTAAGCTAAATGATCATCGTAGCCTTATAGATAGAGATATACAGTATAATTAAATTGACCCATGAGATACATGAACTGCGTGCTTGAACATAGACTGTTATATTATGTAGCTTATCTGTGCGGGGACCTACGGTCTTTCTCGTACATCCAAGGTCATGTTCACATTCATAAACAAATTAGGTGTTATTTTTACACTTTGCCAGAGTAAGTCGTTGCAAGTGGCCATATGCTATATGTATGAAATGAGTATTCACACATACTACATGACATCATTCATAAATTACTGTCCATGGCGGAAATATATCGCGAATTCAATATTTTCATTTAAGTGATACTATGTTGAAGTCAAAGCATTTTAACAGCAAACGTGATTCAGAACAGGTACTTTTTTTTACAACTTTAGGCAAATTTTGCATATCAATTTTGAGGTATAAAGACATTTTTTGAGCTAAATTGAGGTCAATAATGGCTTAAAATGATTTCAAATTGCTAAGAATAGTATCAGCAACACAAAAGAGCACCGAAGCTGTGACTTCATAAAAATCTATTTTTAGAATTCTCAATTTTTTCTTCATTTTCTGAAAGAGCATAAAAACAATGTGCAAATGTCGAAAACCAATTGAATATGTTAATTATTGGCTGAGATATGACCATCTGAATAAAAAGATTGCCTATGGGAACTTAGTGTTATATGCTCTGGCTCCTGATGGTTAGGTGCCAGAGCATATAACAATGTGTTCCTATAGGACATATATTTATTCAAATGTTCATATCTCAGCCAATACTTAATATATTCAATTGTTTTTCGACATTTGGACATTAATTTTGATGCTCTTTCGGAAAATAAAGAAAAAATTGAGAAATTCCAAAAATAAATTTTTGATGACGTCACACTTTACCACTCTATACAAGTAAAACAATTTAATTAGTACATTCAGTACCGAAAGCGCATGCAAAACCGCCCGCGCATGTGCCCACAGGCGCAAAATTGTTTAAATGTTCAAAAAGGTCTGAAACGTGTAGTGAATTGGTCCAATAAGCATTTTGACCAATTTGAAACTTTTACGCACGCGTACGCGTCCGTCATGACGCGTGCACGGACATTTGGTGTAATCAAATGTTTACCCATGACTTCAAGTTTATACATATTGAATACCACTCAGAAATGACAATGTATTACGGAAAAATGGTCAATAATAGAAATGTACAAAATGGCGCCTAGATGACGTCACGCAAAACAATATCTTCGTTGGGATCAACAGTCATGCACAAGCCACATTGTTATTAAACGGTTCTAGGACGATTACTTCAAGGACAATCCCCCCGTAACTACCAATGAAACATTCTTATAACCATTACGACGATGCGTTTGCTGTATCTTATGAAATATCTTATTTATTCATTTATTTTTTTATTAAGATAATTTAGAGTAGGAGAAGGTGAACAAAAATTCAAGAATTTGTTTGTTTAAAGTAAAGTATACAATACTGAACTGGAAACTTACGGTCAGGACCAGTAGTACATGTTTGGTAGGTAGATTCAGTCAAACTTTCAGACCACCCTCCAGGTCCTCCTTCATTGACAGCGCGAACCTGTATTATCAATAACATATGAGTTTATAAATGAAAAAACGTAAATGTTTAATGCATAATATTATGCTTAGTCTCATGGCTCGTTTCAAGATTTTTTGAAAGCCCATTATTCTTGTTTATAAGGATACAAAATATAAAAGTAATTAGAATACAAAAAGCTATAATTTTGTTTAATTTTCAAGAGTTGAGATTATTATTATTATTATTATTATTATTATTATTATTTATTCGACCATAAAAACACATTCAGCATGTACAGTGTATATAGGTGTATACAGAGTGAAATAGGAAAAATACAAAGTAAGATAAAGAAGGAATAGCATGTGGGTCAGGGTGCACAAAAGCGAAATTCTTCCCTGTTGCCGGGGGCATGTGCACCCTCACATTATTGAGAAATATAACTTTATTTCCTTTTAGCCCTTTTATGGGTTTATCATTACTTAATGTTTCATATTTTAACGCTACAATTCGTAAGGATCTCAATCCAATTTTGCGTTATTCTCCAGAAATGTTTTTGTTTTGTTTTAGTTTCTTGATATATTTACAATGCTTGATTCAAGCTCTATGAATTGACCTTCGTTAACATGCGTGATTTTAAATACTTAGTCCGTTTGTCACATTTATATGATCCCGGCAAAGCAAGAGTTCCTTTGGGTAATACATCATATATAATCTTATCATATCTAGAGAGCAATATCCTTTCCATTTCACGTATTAACATTTTACAAGTAATAGGATTAGGGATGATAGCCTGAACGAATATAAAAAGATAGATTACTCGCTCACCTTGATGTAGTACTCCGTTCCCGGTTCTAACGGCGCTATAGTGCATACCATAGGTGATGTTATATAAGTGACGTCAATAGTATCTCCATCCGCTGTGCCACTTGAATAACTGACTGTATAGTGTGTTATCCTGTACATTCCTAGATCTGTATCATCCACGAGAGGCCACTCGATGGAGATTGATGTATCATTCTTTGCCGTGGTAACCGGTACTTCTGACGCCTTGGGTTCTTTAGGATGAGAAATTTAAATTAATTAATATTTCAATTTCATAGTAATATAGGCGTTTGCATTATATAAATACATGTCTCATGATCCAAATAGGCCTATATCTTTTGTTGTGAGCTAAAAAGGCATAACAATTCATATATATACAAACTTGCTGACTCAGACATTTGGATTCATTTCATGGCTGCCTTTACTTTTAAGCTGTCTAGCCAATCATTTTACTTCAAAGTATTTGAAGCGGGAGTCGTTCAGAGCATTCCAGTAGTGAAGTTTTGTTTTGAAAATGATTTTTCGAACAGTGATTATGAACATGCGTTTGTTTTCAATATGCACATTCTAAAAAACGTTTTCAGAGAGTGACCGGCGTTTTTTTCGGCAAATGTTTTCAATATGCACATTCTAAAAAACGTTTTCAGAGAGTGACCGGCGTTTTTTTCGGCAAATGTTTTCAATATGCACATTCTAAAAAAACGTTTTCAGAGAGTGACCGGCGTTTTTTTCGGCAAATGTTTTCAATATGCACATTCTAAAAAACGTTTTCAGAGAGTGACCGGCGTTTTTTTCGGCAAATGTAATTTCGAACGACATGTCAACATCCCACCCAGAGGATTTCTCAGTAACCCACGGTAATGGGACACAATGGACACTTTTTATATCGAATGAACAGCTCCATTAGAGATGCCATAAACGTTAAAGGCGCTTCCGAAAAGGTTCACAAGTGTTGACGCGGCTGCTTATTCAAATTCCACTGGTGCCGGTTGCGGCCGCTTTATCTAAATATACGCGTACAACAATGAGAGGACAGACTGTGCGGATAGCAGACTGCACGGATCGTCCCTCGGACATTGTTTCAGACCATGTAGTTTTCAAGGTCAAATGTCTCCGTCTTTTCTAAAGTTAGTTGTTTACTAAAGAACAAGAACGAGTAAGATGATGATGATGATGATGATATTCCCAGTAATAATATTTTGATTTCTCTTTGTTTTGAGGTGGAGGGGGAAGGGGGTGAAGGGTCGACGGTTCCGACTGAAATACTCTTGAACTCACCTGGTATTGGGAGTGTTGTGACATCGACCGAATCCCAAGCACCGTTCCCTCCGTTGCTAACAGCACGTACCTAACAAGGCAAATATTATAACAAAACGATGATATTAATATCTGAAACGGGTTGCATGTGGTATTTCACGTTACTGTCCAACTGGCTCATAGCATGTCCAAGTATTACAATTTACATCACAAGGGTGTTTTATTTGTGGGACAAAAACTTTGATAAAACCGTGTGAGATTCAATTTTTTTTCTTCAAGATTTAAAAGAAATATCCTTATAAACTGTCACTGTAATCGGGTCCGAGCAGAGACGGCACATTCAGCTGGTGAACCAACTTACCTGTATGGTATACTCTTTGTTCGGCTCTAAATCCGAGAACGAATATATTCTTTCTTCCTCCTCCACTATCATGATGATGTTATCATTATCTTTCTGGATATCATATCTAAAAAATAAACCGTTGATTAATTCCGGTTTCTCCCAGGCGATGATGGTATATGTCTGGTTCGTTGAATCCACATCACTATCGAGATTGAGAAGGCCAGTGGGCTCTGTATTAAAGATAATAATTGTAGTAATAATGCTAATACTAATAGTAATAATTGAATGAAAATAATAATAATAATCCTAAATAGTGGGGTCTCGTCAAGCGCTTATGTTCCGAGCATTGCCACTCATGTCCCTTCATTTTCAGCTTCCATTAAGTGGCTAAAGCATTTTCAGCAGTTGATTCCTGCCGGGTACTCATTCACCTCAGTTGAGTGTCACAGTGGCAAATGCAGATTAATGTCATGACAAAGGACATTAGTATTACAACAGGGTTTCGAACCCCATACCTTATGGTTAATTAGTCCGGAGGCTTACCCACTGAACAACTAAACCTCTACATATCAACACATTCTTCGGATCACTAAATTCAAGATTATATCTATTTATCAGTGTTCAAAAGCATTTTGTGGCCTCCATTGGTTTAGAGAACGCAAGTATGGCTCGAAAATTATTTTGATTGACCCAATTCATTGCGGCTTATATTTGATGAGAGGGTTCGACCAAATAAGCCATTTCGGAGATCCTTTCTGCGCTCGGGCAAATAAATGTAATTTGCACAATACTGTAAAACCCATTGAGACAATGCTGGGTACTTGTTCATAATTTTGTTTGAATTATTCATTTATGCATCGACGGCATGTTCTATGATACACAGGTGGAAGTATCCTTTGTAAGAGGGCAAACAATAGGTATTCATTGAGCACCACCATCACTTTGACAATGATTCTTCTAACATGCGCAAAGTTCTCCATGATTAAAAGATCTTAGGAGATTTATAGGATCAGCTGTACATAAAATATCTCGGAACTTGTCTGTATTATAATAATATGACTAAGGCAAGGAATCAAATTTCATCGGTGGAAATAAACCCAAAATAAAAAGAAAATAACATCCAATCAGTGATAACGATATTCATAATGGATCTTACCACTTGGTAGTGTTCTGGTCTGATTGAAGATACAGGGACCCGGTCCAACGACTGTCCTCGGACAGACAGTAAACTCGTACATCATGTAATGTTTTAAATCCTCAAAGGATTTACTTGTCATTATAAGGGTTCCCCTCTGCACATCATCCCCTCCCGCTTCACCGAATTCGTAGTCGTAACGTAAGGCTCCGTTCCGGTCTCCGCATGGAGGACTGCTCCAGGTATACTCCAATTTTCCCTTCACGGTGCTATCCACTGTGAAGTATTCAGGTGGCCCAGTTGAATCTATTAAGAGGATTAAGTTATAAATCGAATTGGTTATCTGTCCACTTTATATAGTGCAGCTACTAAATGTATCAAAATACTGGTGTCCTAAGTAACACATCGTTATCCCGCCTTAAGTGTGAGCAAGCTACCATGATAGGTTCTTTCAGCAGTATTCTTTACCTTGCGTCCATTTACTTCACCTAGGTGAAGAGTGGCAAATGTAGACAGGTTTCTACCATGCTAGATAGAACTCTTTATATCTGGAGAACAATCTTTAACGTCTCTTTCCGAAAACAATACTTTAACAAGATCTGATTTAAAAGGAGTAGAAACCGGTTTGATTAAGATCGAGGAATATGGTTGTACAAATTTCGCACACAGCAACGTTGATGTCCCACCGAGAAAAACCCGAAAATTCGCAGAGAGTCTTCGGGTTGCCGGTAAAGGGAAGATTTGTTATGATGACATTTCCTAATGGGACAATAATTGCTATAAAGTGCACTGCAAATACTTTAAGACCTATTATTCATATAGTTGATGATCAAACTCCCAGTGATTGATAACATCAGTGTGTTAGGTGAATACCCGAACGATGTCAAACTCCCAAGGAGAACAGAACCCATACTTATGTGTTTTTAACTTACTTGACTCAGTGGAGTTGTATGCGACCACATAGACTGTTTCCGCATCAAAGCCTTCCAGAGTCGCCATAACTGTAAATTCGTAGGTAGAGTAGGGCAACAGATCGTCATACTCGATGCTTGTATCGCCTGTTACCTCCCACGTTACCGTATCCGCCATAGAATCGTCGCATTGGTCAATGAGGACGAGCCTACGTGATACGTTGTAGCTCGGAGCACCGCATTGGCTGAATGGCTCTGACCACGTGATCTCCAGGTGGTTGTACGAATCTGAAGTGACGTCGGCACTATCCACTGGTTGCGGAGCTGAGGGCAACACACAAGAATGAAGAAGTAAGTATTAGCTTTGTAGGTATCGTTTAAAGATGTATACACACATTTATGTTCGTTTTTCTACTTGCACTTAGGGGATGGTATACCAGATAAAATAACTTCAAGTTCAATTATCACGCGTGTGCTTTTTCATGACGATTGTAGAACATTCCATGAACTTTGCGACAAAAAAGTAACAAGTTAAATATAAAAGCCATAGCGGGGATGGAACAGAACTTGAACTTGGTCCCAGAATTGAAAAACTCTTGAATTGTATATGTTTCCTTAATAAATCATTGTCAGAACATTACAGCTATATGTACCTTCATGTTTACTAGTTTTGACCAAGCTAAATCATCTATCGGCCTTCTGTAAAAACTCAAGTTACCTATCCTTTTGTGAATCAGAAAAGAGTGATGTACGGTTATCATACCCTGCTACCGCGTCGTACGATAGTCTGTTAGATTTTTGCGGTGATTCGACTGCTTGGAAGGTATAGGTAATAATGATTAATAATAACTTTCAAATGTAAGTGATGTCCGCGGGTTGATTTAAAATATCGGCATTTTCTTCTCCTTCACCCTACCATAATAAAAGCTGAATTGTATTTAACCAGAGAATCGTAGATTCGACGACCCACAAGAAACCGTAATGCTATGATTACATTTGGCCTGGGATTAGTCTACGGAGCCCGTATTCTGCCCGTATCCCCTTTTCCATGCGGCCTCAATACGGAGGCAGGAGGCGGCCGTGATATTTTCGTACGGATTCACGGGCTCCGCGGGGCTCCACGGCCTCTACGACTTTGTTTCACAGAAAGTTATTCAAAATATATTTGAAATATCGCAAGCCCGTAGTCCGTAGACATGTCGTAAGGGTCATTGCACAATCCTCGCACGGGCACCGCGCGGAGGACTCGCGCTGATCGTGCAGCAAATGCACGCTTTTTCGGTGAACATGGAGGCAAAAAACGGTTAAAAACGGCAGGGCGGCTGCCCGGTCACCGCGCCTTCTAAGCGCAACCTTTGCACGGAAGCTGCACGGGCTCCGTACGATTTCCGGAGACTGTACAGCTACTGCATTGAAATTGCACGATTACCGTACAATCTTCGAGCAGGCTCTGTACTGATTTGCCCCCGCCTGCCCCCTAAGGCCAATACAAGAAATGACAGGAGGCTCGTAGATAATGTTAACACAAACATCGTAGCCCGTATTCTTCTACGATGCCCCCCAAACAAAAAAAATCGCACGAAAAATCGTAGACTAATTTATCGTACGGCGCCCGAGGCAAATGTAATCCAGGCATAAGAGCTATTTATTTCTAGTGGCAGCAAGGCCCTTCTTGTAGGCAGCCGAATTCATATACATATATTGATATAGAATCTACATCGAGCACTTGCGTGTCCACAATAATTTGTGTGGCAGTTTCATATTCTTTTAAAAAAGAATAAATAATCTCCAAAATTTACTTAAGATTATATTTTTAAAAATAGTGGGAATTCGTCCTCTGTAATAATGAAAAATAAAAAATAGGAGGAAGAAGAAAAAAGATAGGGAGAGAGGAAAAGGGACACATGTCCTCTACGGATAATGCAAGTATCTCCATTCCTTCGCCCCCCCCCCCCCCCCGATGACATCAGTTTCCCCCTAATGATTGAATTCACGACTGCGGGTTGGGATGTAATGTTAGTAGGGATACCTACCCTGACAGTATGGTTTGACACTGATTGGACCACTTCTTCTACCGGCAACAACCTGACCCTCGACCTCTCTTCTAACACTGACGTAGAAATCGTAGTCTCTGAAACCGGAAAGCCCTGTGATTTCAGCAGTACTATCTCCAATGATAATAAACGGTACTTCGGATTCACCAGTGTTGTCTTTATCATCCGTCCACGAGTAGTCCAACTGATAGGAGTGGACAGGGCCATTGCCATAATCATAGCCATCTGTCCAGGTATTCCAAATGAGCAGGACCGAATCTTTGGTGACGTCCGACACCCAAGGTGATTCAAGCAGTCGTGGAAGCGCTGTTTGGGTTGATATAAATTTTGTTTAATACTCTCATGGACGTATTTTTTAATTGGTGCACATATAGCACATATAGCTCCGTTTAGTCTCATTTTTTAAAGGACCATTAATATGGAATAGTATACCTCAGGAAATTAAAAAATGCAAAACTCTCAATCTTTTTAAAATTAAATATAAACAATTTCTGTTAAACAAGTATAAAAATCAGTATTAATAGTATGGGCAAATTTTTGATTTTTTTTTTATACTCTAATCGTGTATGATAGTAAGTTTTAATATGTTCTTTGTTTTTTGCTCTGTTCTTTTGTTCTTGTTTTCCTGTATGTGTGTTTTTAGGGGTAGGCTTTTATATAAGGAACTTCCCTCCTTTCTGCCTATCCCAAATGCTCTTATAAATTGCCATTGTATTTGTTACCACTTTCTTGTGTTTTTTAAATATTTTTTATATAACTCCATTCTGTATTTGTATGTTTTAAATGTTTTTTATGAAGAGTGTTGAATAAACTTTGAATGTGAATTTCACAACGCCCGCTATCGTCAGAGTCAGCAGCCATACATGTTAGCCTATGGAATTGTACCAACAACAAAAAAAATCGTTAAAAATTCACTTTTTGTTTAAACGAAAAGCACATCCAACCCGACTTACGTTATCACTAGCGCTTTCATTGGAACCCTCATGTCCCATTGACTTTTGAAAGTTCACCCACCGTAATTTGATCAAAATAGGTTGCAAGCTCCTCATTGCCTATAGTACACATGTGAAACAAGTCGAACTTTGGACTCAGTTTGCCAAGCGATTTTAAGATTATAGGTCAAGCACACGAAGGATAAGAAGCATGAATTATCATAGATCACTTCTGCTTGGTTCATTATGTCCATTTCATCCAACCCCCCACCGTCATTTTTCCATTTAGTAAAAGCAAACATTTTGCCGAGTTTAGCAAAAACATGAATATTCATGAACGGTCAGTCAATACAGCCTTTTAAAGGCCCGGTCACACAGCCTTTCGCGTCTGTATCGCGGGTAAAATTTCGCGATTTTTTTTTTTGCCCGCGGTTGCCCGTGGTGGAAAATGTGCAAAATTAGCTTATCCGCGGTTTACCCATGGTATGCCCGCGGAACAGACGCCGGCGACTGTTCCGCGTCCTTATCGCGGGTGAAGCGCGGCGGTACCACGGCCTACCACGCTTACACGCGGTACACACGCTAATGCACGTGATAACAACGCGGTACAGACGCGGAACAAACGTGCTATGACCGTGCTCCACCCGCGATTACCCGCTAAAATTTCGCGTCCAATTCCGCGTGTAACCACGTCTTAACCGCGGCCGTAGCACGTCCTAGCACGTTCGTTCCGCGTCTGTACCGCGTCTTTACCGCGTGTGTACCACGTGTACCGCCCGCGATTACCCGCGGTCTAAATTTTTGGGTAGCCCAAAACTTTTTCGCGCGGCCAACCGCGTGTGAATTTCTTACCGCGTGTAACGACGGGTAAAGTACGGCTGTATCGCGTCTTTATCGCGACCTCAAAGCGTCCAACAGCGTCTGCTTCACGGGCAGAAATTTTTGGCCGTGATTCGGCCGCGATACGCCCGTGGAGGGCTGTGTGACCGGGCCCTCCACGGGCGTATCGCGGCCGATCGAATCATGGCCAAAAGTTTCTGCCCGTGAAGCAGACGCTGTTGGACGCTTTGAGGTCGCGATAAAGACGCGATACAGCCGTACTTTACCCATTGTTACACGCGGTAAGAAATTCACACGCGGTTGGCCGCGCGAAAAAGTTTTGGGCTGCCCAAAAATTTAGACCGCGGGTAATCGCGGGCGGTACACGTGGTACACGTGGTACACACGCGGTAAAGACGCGGTACAGACGCGGAACGAACGTGCTAGGACGTGCTACGGCCGCGGTTAAGACGTGGTTACACGCGGAATTGGACGCGAAATTTTAGCGGGTAATCGCGGGTGGAGCACGGTCATAGCACGTTTGTTCCGTGTCTGTACCGCGTTGTTATCACGTGCATTAGCGTGTGTACCGCGTGTAAGCGTGGTAGGCCGCGGTACCGCCGCGCTTCACCCGCGATAAGGACGCGGAACAGTCGCCGGCGTCTGTTCCGCGGGCATACCACGGGTAAACCGCGGGTAAGCCAATTTTGCACATTTTCCACCACGGGCAACCGCGGGCAAAACAAAATCGCGAAATTTTACCCGCGATACAGACGCGAAAGGCTGTGTGACCGGGCCTTTAGTACGTAACGTATAGTGAATGGGAATGGGCGATGATCTGTCCAGGAGGTAGAGGTCAGTGGTTTGTGCTGGCAATGTTAACGCGAGCGAAAATGAGACAATCGGAGCAATATGTTGGTATTTGATCCACCGACAGTGCTCTTTCAAGATCGTACAAATTAATTTTGTGTGACATAATGCGATGATGCCATAAATATGCATGCATATATCTAATCGTGTATGGGTGAGCATGTAGGTGAGTGTCTAGTGTGCATGGATGGGTGCGTATAAAGGTTATTGATAGTTATTGTGATGGAACTGCATTGCGACAGAAATTGACTGATAGCGCTAAAAATCAATTTAGACATACGATTATATTTTTTCCCGCCACAGGGATTTTTTTGATTTTCATTTGCAATAAGTATAATATATTCAAGGTAATTTACATTTATAATTATGAACACTCAAGATAAAAGAATTTGCTGAACTGTTGAGTTGACAGAAAATCAACACATTTTCAATAATGTATTTCTGAAATTCATGAAAATAAAATAAATGGAAAAACAATACAAAAGACACATGTTATCGTTTTATTATTGGGCTAAACAATTACACCGTTTTGACCACTGCTAATTTTAGGAAAACTTATCTCAAATATATGCTGTATCACAAAAAAGTTTGCATGCTGTCAAGCAGAATAACATAATAATGATAATACAATGCTCATCAAAATTTCGTTTTCATCCACTGCAAATACCACTTTAAAGAACTATCTCCGCACTCAAAAAGATATAAAGGCAAATTTGCAATATTTGATGAGGTAACAGTACTGATTCACAAGGCCAAAAGAAAAGGCTATTGGAAATTATGGCAACGGTTACATGCAAAAATAAATATTGTCGCGGGGTCCTATTCCTTTTTTAGATATGAGACAGCAGCTTTGTTAAACTTGAATTCTATAATTTTACATTTTATTAAGCAGGTAAAAATCAATGTGCATGTGACACAATGGGAGCGGAACGGGTTCAATGAATCTACATATGATTTATTAATTTCATCCGGAGTCTAAACAGGATGGCTTCATCCTGTTTGCCTGCAAGTTCTTTTCTCTTCCCTTCTTTCCTGAGATACGCTCATATTTACCTTGTTGACAGTCTGATCCTGCCCATCCCTCAGAACACGTGACTCCATTTGGACAATGACCATTGGTTCGTTGACAGTCCACACCACCAGCACAATGACATGGATAACTACACAGGGTACCAAAATACCCGGATGGACAAGGGAGGTTCGATCTCAAGGCTAAACAAAACAAGCAAACAAAGCAAAATCATGAAAAGATATGTGAGTCACATAATAATGTTCTGTGTTCTAATTGCCGTTAAAAAATATTGTAAGAACAAGTTATTAATAACTTTTTCTTTCTCACAAATTATACCAAAGAAAAGTGAATGTTTTATGCCCTTAATCAACGCTACCTGTAGGGGGACTTTATGACAATGGAATATTCAGTTTTCTGACATTTTGAGCGCCATCTTAGGTCATCTGTTGCAGAGTGGTCCCGTCACTCGCTGGTTGGTTCTACTGAACTATAATGCTATGGTCACAACTCAGAGCGGCGACCGACCAATCAGTAGCCTGCTCGGTCGTTTGGCATCGCCAAACGATTTTTGGAGAAGTCGAGCAGGCTGTAGAGCCCCGGCGATGCATGGGCAGTGCCCTGTCGATTTCCTGTCTGTCGCCGCTCGATTTTAGGTCAAAATTGGGCGAAATCAAAGACGCTAGGTCAAAGGCTGCCGACCGATTTTGGACTCGCCGCCGAGTGACTGACTGATCGATCTCCCAGCGGCGACCGGGCGGCGACTGCTCGGCAGCCTTTGACCTAGTGGCTTCGATTTTTGACATAAATCACTCGATGGCGAACGCTCGACTAGGTCGGTGCCCGGGCGGCGTCCGGTTGGGCACAGAGCGTACTTTGGTTGGCGATTGAAAAGTAAGCAGGCGCCGCCCGAATTTTAACTCCGCGCTAAAACTTCAGCGGCAACCGAGCGATGCCCTAAAAACAAGCAGGGGCTGGGCGACCGCCGCTTGGTGCCAGGGCGAAATTGGCTAAAAACTCGCTGCTCGGCCGCCGATCAGGCTACTTTGGGGGTTGTGACCATGGCTTAATGTAGTGGAGTTCAGTGGGTTATGCACTGTTGGTAAGTTGACCTAGGGCAGGACGTTCATCAATTCAGTATCGCTTTAACAGTAAAGACATGGCATCCCCACTAGATCACATAAAAAGAAAATAATTTGGAAGGACGATCACGTAACATTCTCTGAAGTTTACCTTGACAGTAGGTACCCTCGTAGTCGGCTGTACATGTGCCTACTCCACATCCAGTCTCACGATCGCACGCATCAGCACAATTACAGTCCAGTTCACAATTAGCACCAAAGTTCTCGCCGGAGCACTCTTCGGGGAAATATTGAGAGATTATGTCAATGATTATTATTCAAACTGTTCATAAGTGTAACATCCACACTCATCTTCACCAACCACCCGATGACACCTTGTAATAGGTAAATACAAAATATATACTTTTGTGCTGTAGAACAACAAAACATGACTCCATTTTCCTGTTAGATGGAAACATCAGAGTAAATTGTATTTTGATTTATCTTGAAACATTAGGAATTATGGACATTTTCTATTACATGTATGTTGGATTGCAACCACAAAAAACAATGCTGTTTATAAAGCTATACTGAAATTTGTAGAAAAGGCCAGAGCAATATTTGACTGCCGTTTGTATGTTAACGACAGAAATAAAATAGGCGAAATGTCAAGAAACATTATGAAAATATACGAATAAACAAGATAGGGGAAATCTTTGTTTTTAACTATTATTATAACAGGGTAAGAGCAGTGCTAAGTCAACCAAGCAAGTTTTAAGAAAAATAAACATTTTGTGTTTATAAAGTTATAAACACTACTTGTGGTCTAGACTTATCTAAAACTTTCACCAAAAAAAAACATATTCCCGTTCATTTCTAATTTTGGCGCCTTGACAACCAAATTTACCCCTTTATTTTTCATCTGTAATTGTTTAACAAACCTGTTTGACACCTGTTTCCTCCAAATCCGTTGATACAAGCCATCCCGACGGGATTTGGTGGTGAAAATAACCGGTTTGAGCAGCCGGGGTTATTACTAGAGCAAACCGCAGTACAGGATTTCCCCCAGTGATTGTCCCCGCAGGCTTGGGAATAAAATGCCGTTTGCATGACCATGTAAACACAGAAGAAAATGAAGATTATTTGATACACTTATAGCGATAGCGCACCGATGAATTAAATATTGTTTATTGTACAGCCCCATATCACAGGGGTGGATCCACGGGAGGGGGCGACGGGCCCGGGTTCCCCCCCCCCCTCCCCAAAAAAGTAAAACCTGTGATTATTGGGGGGGGGGGGGGTCAAGGGGTGTGTTAAAAAAGGAGTGTTTACTATGGTTTATGTACTTTTCGTGGTTATATAATTCATCTTTTTCATTTTTCACTTCCAAAGGGGTCTTTAATGACTTTTTAAAAATTTTATCTCAACGTAACCATTTCCAAATTGATTTTACAATATCTGCAACACGACTTTGCACTGAATTCGATTATTTTGGAATTATTATGACGTAGTTCTTTGACACTTAGACGTATCATTAGTTGTAATTTGTAATTCTAAAGAGCCAAGAGATGAAGGCCTTATAGAGAATAAAATACAAGAATGGAAAATCTAAATCAGTGCAACAGTTTCTATCAAATTATAATTAATAAATTTGATTTGAAGATAAATATTGATTGAGTAAAAAGAACCAATTTAGTATAGTAAGTTACCAAACAATACATACGTGTTTCACAATTAACTCCTTGGAATCCTGATCGACATACACATTCTCCCGTGACGTCATGACATACCCCACCAGCGTAACACACGGGACAGTTCTGGGAGCAATCAAGGCCGTACTTGGAAGATGGGCAACCTAAAAACACAATGTAGGAAGACAAATCATGACATCTAATCAGGCCTAAAAAAAGAAAATCTTGAAATATACGGTCGGCTTTTTTTTTCTTTTTACCGTTTTTTTTAGGAAAACTAAATTAAGAAACATCAGCCCAAAGAGGGAGATTTTTTTTTTTAAAGTAAAAAAGAAAAAGATTTCCATGTTTTGGCACCTAAAGGGCAATACAACATTTTTTTTTGTGTAGGCCTCTTGTAACCCACGCGACGGCTCAGCAATACACTGCAGCTTACTATAAACGGTGGCCATGATAACGCAATTCTAAATATGTCATATCGTGATGCGAGCTCAAGATCGAGAATGACAGGGGAAGTAAGGACTTGCTGCTGTCCTCATCTGTTAATTGGATGTTGCTTAAATTGTATGGTTTTGATTTCAACGCAAACTCCGTAAAACGATTTTTACAATATAAATTTCACTATAGACATCTGACAAAGATTAATCTTTGCATTACATACAGGGGCGGATCTAGCTTTTTGCCAGGGGGGGGGGGGGGTTGACCCAGAAAATTCCAAAAATCGCGCCGTTTTACTGTTTTACTTGTTATTCACTTGGCCGCCCAATGGAGAAGGGGGGTTAAATCGCCGAAACACCCTAGATCCGCCTCTGACATATTTTACTCGAGAAAAAAATTTATTCGAGAAAAAATAATACTTTGATAAATCGTTTGCAGTGTGCTGATATAGGAGGCACTTTCCGACGGTTTGTAATTCTGAAGATTTGTAATTTCGAAACATAAATTTTCCATTCCAGGGGTCCACTATTCCGAACATTTGTTTCGTTATTCAGAAGGTTCGTTTATCCAATGGTTTATAAATCTGAAACTGACATAGTGTTCGTTATTCCGAAATTAGAATAGAGTTTATACTAACAACAAAAGGGATATAGGGTTTGTTTTTCCGAAGGGCTCGTAATTCCAAAAATACTGCGGGCCTTCAGGATTTCTTGTCATTTTTGGAATTATGAACCTTCTGAATTATAATTTTTTTCATGAAACTTCCTAAAATCATCATATAACCGGTGCAGTAAGTCGGCAGAATGTTTAAGAAGTGTACAGGTATTGACATATGACGGTACCAATCTTCGATTACTTACTTCTTACGATGAGTTTAAGAATAGCATGTTTTCCTGACTCTCTGTTACCCTCGACGTAGCACTCGTAAATTCCTTCATCAGACTTCCTGACGTCATTGATGGTAACTGATGTCAGTCCATTCCATTCGGGGTTTTCACTTCCTCCGTTGAGTCGCCATCTCAAAGATGAAGTGACTACAGACTGTTGCGTTGACACGTCGAGAGTGATGGTCTCACCAATCCCTACCGTAATTGATAATTTCTCAGGCCAAACCTCAGAATTAGAATCTGACGACAAAGAAAAAGAATATAATAGGTTGCATGTGATTAATGTACACGAACGTTTTGTACAAACCAATTAAAATAGGAACATATCAACACTCCCGATGTCTAAGAATTCTTTAAGCCTAAATAGTCCGTAAGAGATTAAAGTGTACAATTCTTTACATATTTGGTAATGTAGTTTCTAGTATGATAGGCTCTTCTTAATCGTGAAACTGATCCATTTTCACTGAAACTCTTTTTGCATGGAAAACACGATCGCAACTATTTTTCAAAAATCAACTCAGGGCAATTTAAACACCCTATTGTACATCATGTTCGAATTATGTAATACGTTATTGTCAAGTTCGCTAATTGCAATAGGTGACGCACAAGGCTATTGAAATCGCCTGAGGGTGATTTTTCCCTGCGATCGTGTCGGAGTTGCTTTCTCACAAAAAAATTATATATACAAAATTCATCTCACATCAATGCAGCCATTGCATGATTTTTTTCTGGAGTGAATGAGTCTAACCTCTTACCTCATACATGAACGCATTATTATTTTGAAACTGCATAGCTTGGGGGGGGGGCTTTTAACCCCCCCCCCCCTCCCAAGTGGTAGAGCCAGTGGAAGAGCCATGTTATTTCTTATGTTATCTATTGTTTTGATAATTTCTTATGTATTTCTTTGTTTTTTAACTCATGTATTTTTTGTTTTGTTTTATTTCATTATATTTCGACTATTTTGACTCCCAAAATAAACACCTTAACGATAAAAAGACCAAATAATCAATTTTTTATCTCCATTTTCGAAAAATACGAATACCATATGTTTTGAACACAAATCACTAATGAGCAATTTTCCGGCTGACATTGTAACGTAGGTCCGATTTTCGAAAAAAATGTTTCAAAAGATGCGCAAGACTCGAAAGAAAAAAGGCATACAATTTCAGCGCAAAAATTGTTTGCGTTAAAAAATTATTGCCTCCCCCCCCCACCCCCAGGCTAGATAGGGTTAAAAACGTTAAAATACAAAAAAAATATCAATGTACCTAATCTACAACAAGTTCAAATTAGACCCATTTTTTAAATGAATATATTCAAATAAGCAACACATCAATTAATTGTGACATGTGTATCAATCTGCACGAAAAACTTATGTTTGGTAATTAAAGTAAACACAAAAAACCAAGTCATGTAAAATGCATCAAACAACCATACCACCACGATGCTCGTTCAGCAAGAGATTTCGCTCGGTCCATCCCTTGTAATCGACGGACATTTGGTATGCACCGACACGTGCATCTCCGCCACTCGTTTTATTAATATTAGCTCTGAATGAGTTCTGCTGCATGGTGTTATATTTAATAAACTGTGTTCCTGGAGGCAGCCCTGTGTCTCCCCATTCTTGTGTTTTCACTCCGCCATCAACCTTAAAGTAAGCTCCGTGACCAGTCTCTCCTGGTCCCGTGTCGACTTCTCGTCCGATGTAATACATCAAGGAAAGATCTCCGGTTACAGTACTATCCCCAATCATGAATATACCGAGGAAATTATTGGTAGCCGTTGCATCATAGACACCTCCTCTTAACATAGCTGTGATGTCCAAAATAGTCACTGCAGTAAAAAAAAAAAAAAAAAAAGGGGGGGGGAAATCTCGAAGTAGTCCTCCAGATAACAATATTTTTCAAGTACACAATGATATCTCAACTCGAATAGTCAAGGAGGTGTTCCCATATAATCTGTAACAATATTTGCGTAATAGAAACGTCTTAAATTGTAATGGATGTACAGGAAAATATTGATTAGCCTGGCGTTGCATGGTTTTACCCATTGGCGTACGCAGGATATTTTTCAAGGGGGTGTTTTAAAATTTGAAAATCGCGCCGAAAATTTCGCAACGACCCAGCCAGCCGCTGAATAAGTATGGGGGGGGGGGAGGGTAAGAGCACTCTCTTCCCCCCCTTTTTTTTTTTGCTCTGGAAATTAGATCGTCGGGGGGGGGGTGGGAGGGTATACTCATTTTTTCCCTCCCCCCTTTTTTTTTTACGATAAAAAAAATGAGGGGATTTAACCCCACATCCCCTCCCCTCCCCCCCCCCCCAACCCCCTCTGCGTACGCGTCTGGTTTTACCCCATATTTGCGAAATTACGTGCGATTACTAAACGACCTAAAAGAAGGACACAATTTCAATATTTGGTTTCTACATAATCATATTAGATTTAGCACGAGTTCGTTCATAATCATTTCAAGTGCTCTGATTTGAAAAAATAACATAAAATAGACTTTATAATAAAACATGTATTCTCTTGTAAATAGAATTGCTTGCTGTATTTCCTCAACACGCCTCTACATCCCCACCCGAATAAAAAAAGAAAAATTAACTGATTTTGATGAAATTGATTGATTTCCACAAGATTTACATATATTTCATGATATCGGCCTACCTATACAAATTGTTCAACATTTTTATAGGTAGGAATAATATAACTCCACTGCTGAATTTTAAAGTCGGCGGGTTACCTTTTTGTTTGTTGTTGTTGTTTTGTAAACTGTAGAAAGTGTACGAAAAATTTGAAACCTTGAGGACCCTAACTTCTGCTCGTCTGCCTTTTAGGTTACCCCATTACATTTAATTAATTTATGCAATTTCTTAATAGTCTTCATCAGTACAACTTAGGCACGGTCACAATTCCATTTTGAGCACTTTCTTTATGATCCTTTACCTTGGCATTGATCTCCAATCCAACCATCTTCGCACCCACTAGAACAGGCCCCCGTACGAAGGTCGCATGATCCTGTAGAGACGCAGTGACATGTCTGAGTGCATCCTGCGCCGTACGAACCAGCAGGACATGCTTTAAGGAGATACAAGAGATAACCAGCGAGAAGAAAAGAAGATCAGTAGCGGTTGTGGGGGGGACATAGTGGCTCTCCACGCCAAACAGTAATTATTTAAGCTGTTTATGTCTTCTTTTTGTAATTTTCTTGATCGTGCGGCGCTGTCGAAGACGAGTGGTTTAATTACGTAATGACTGGAAATGCAAAGGACATAGGTTCAAGCTGCTTTCCGGCTCTAATTCCTTCTAGCAAGACATTAATCTACATTTGCCAATCATCACTCAATTGTTAATGGGTACATGGGGAAAATAATTCATTACATGTTTCGAGCACCGAAATTGGTAGCCTAGCCATGCAGTACTGGGGGAATATTGGAAAGCCTTGAGCACCTTGCATGGTTATGGTAGTGGATATGTGCTCTTTTGAATAATTTAATATTATCATTATCATGAATATTATTATTATTATAATTATTATATTAATCATGAGGCCTATATCATTGTTATTTTTATTATCATTATTATCATTGTTAATGCATTTTAATTATTATTATTATTATTACTATTATCATAATAATAATATTAATAATAATAATAATAGTGGGTTCTTGTATAGCGCTCATGTCTGTCAAACGTGACACTCCTGGCGCTCCCAAATATTACCCTGGCTTTAGCACGGCTGCCATCCGGCACTCTAGCATTTTAAAGGAATTAATTCCTGCCAGGTACCCATTTATATCACCTGGGTTGAGTGTGGAAAATGTAGATCAATATCTTGCAAGGTTGTTGTTATCATCCTAATTATTATTATTAATATTGCTGCTGTTGTTGTTTTAATAATTTGCATCATACTCATCAGATGTTTTACTAGAATATATTACCATTTTGATACTTAATCATGTTTTAAGGTATCATACATATTATACACAAACGTGAAATTAGACCAAATAACGCAAACGTTCCTAGATTACGGCATGCCAAGCAAACATCGCCATGTCATCTGGTTCTCTCTTACCTTGGTCACATTGTAACCCAGTCCATCCTGCAGCACACGAACATCCATACGGATCCGGGAGACAGAACACAGCTTCACTGCAGTCAGTCCGACCAGATTCAAGGTTAGTGCAAGATCCAGAACATCCCTGTCCAAACTTACCAGCTTCACATGCTGTATACAATTTTGAACAGTAGTAGCAACAGTAGTAGTAGTTTTAGCAGTAGTACCAGCAGCAGCATTATCAGTAGTAGTAGCAGCTTCTTCTTCTCCTCTTTCTTCTTCTTCTTCTTCTTCTTCTTCTTCTCTTCTTCTTCTTCTTCTTCTTCTTCTTCTTCTTCTTCTTCTTCTTTTGCTCATTCTTCTTCTTCTCAGTTTTATCATTATTTGTTATCATCGTTATTACTATTATTATAATTATTATCTTTATTATAATAAATATTACTATTACTATTATCATTATTGTCGTCACCATCATTCATTCTATTTATTTTTCTTTATACTGTTATATTTAATATCAATGTTTTTCTTCTTTTATTATTATATCAGAGAGTAGAAGAGCACCATTCTATTCTGCACTTACCAATTTGGCAGTGGTCACCACTGAAGCCAGGTGGACACACACAGCGTCCACTCACATCATCACAGACTCCTCCGTTGTAGCATGTAGGACATGTGTACTGGCAGACAGGTCCCCATAGGTTATCAAGACAAGCTGTAACCATTAAAATAAAATTCATAATCGTCGTGTAGATATTATGCCTGCATCCCGAAATTGAATAATTGATCAAGAATAAAGAATAAAATAAAAACATAATTGTGGAGATATCGTTAATACGGTCAGAAAAAGGATGTATACAAAAGCAAAAAATTCCTCCTCAGAAGTTCACACCTAATGCACTTTACAGAATGACAATCTTTCATATTCTACTCTCTTAAATGACGATGAAAATCATGACGAAAATATCAAAGACAATTTTTTTTTTACATCAAAGGCTCATTTTTAGTTCAGTTCAAAACTACAAATCAATTCAATCTTTTAAGATTTTAACTCGGTATAAACTTTTGTAAAAAATACATCAGTATTGAAAACATCTATTTTTGTATACATAGATACATTTTGATGTGATACACATAATATATATTTATTTACATCATTAGACCGCCATATGAAGTGAAAAAAAGTCATTAAGTAAACATGGTCATTGGCAGGACAAATTCGTGTCCTGCTAACGATTGAACATTAGAATTGTTTGCCCTCTACGTACGTTTACAGGCAAATGGAACTTAAATGCCTCCCAAGAAACAAAAGTTTTAATCATAAGTCATTAGTTGAATTATTTATATTGCTTTGAATTTAGGGTTATGTCTAGGGAAACATTATAAATTTTTATGACGTCCACCTCATTTACCATGTAGGATTATACAATGATTATATATATATAAAGCTCTAAGTCGGGCACAGCTGTACACAAAAAAAAACTTTTTTAAAGACGGATTACCTGATAAAATAGGATTTGGTAAACACAAATGGCTAGAAACAAATATCTTAAGATGATTGCAAGTCAAAAAATGTCTTTGTTTGTACCTTTCCTACAAGTTGTTGTAAATTATTTCTTAATCAACTGACATAATTGGCAGGTAAAACATTTTCTGATTGTCTTTGGATCATTAGAAGACATGCAAAAAATACATGATTACCTCTAACGATAAGCTTCACTAGTCCTCCTTTATCTGGATCGTCAGAATAGTAGTAATGGTGAACACCAGCATGGTCCGCTTTCTTAGCCCTACTGATGTAGAGAGCATCCCCAGAAACACTAGAGGACAGGTCAGTTTGGCCACCATCTTCGTGATTTAATATCCACACGAGTGAACCAGTTCCACTAGATAATCCAGGATTCATTACCAGACGAACCTCTTCATCGCGACTTACTGTCACCGTGAAGTAATCAGGAGTGAAATGAGCTAAAAGAAGAAGAAGAAAAAAAATACATCAACATTGAAGTTTTATCTCCTACGATTCCCTGTTATATTGTTAAATTTGTTGAAGGAATTTCATTTTGTTTTACACATTTCAAGCGAATTCATTTAAAGGTACTATGTCCCTTTTGCAGCCAACATCAAATTCTGTAGAACTTTGCAGGAATTATGAATATGTCATGTATTTCCTTTCTGTGAAATTTAAACGTTAACAGTGTCCTAATATTTAAAGTATGCAAGGAAACCAGTTTACTTGCTAGACTTCACTGTCAGACACTATTGAGTGACTAGCTGGCTTTTTTCTTCTTTGGTAATAACATACATAAAATGAGCTGTAAAGGGTACATGAGCACTTGTCTACATCAATAACCCACTTCTTGTGATGGCCAAAATTAAACTGATTGAATCTTTGTGCAGCATAAAACGTATGACCATTCGGTACAATGGTCTGAAAATCAAGACTATTACTTATTAGCTCTATAGTCGATTTGACAACTAATAGTCATTATTTTCCCACTTGAAGACATTTTCAAGCCCCAACTTTTTTTAGGGAAGTTCTAAATTAGTATTATCTCTCAAATGCCGTTGGAATTTAACCTTTTCATTTTTTTGTCCTGCAAATGGGACATAGTACCTTTAATTGAGCTTTAATCGTATTTATAATTTTGTTTATTGTAGTTTTCTATTGACATTTACAGTTTATAAGATAACAATTAATTTCATCTAGTCTCCAGTAAGTCAATTTTAACAATTATATATCGCAAGTACATCACTTTAATGTAGCGCATATTTTTAGAGTATATCAAATTATTATATGTATACTTGACGTGTATATGCACTATCTACAGGATACCCCTGATGGTATTGAATTAATGATTAACAAAACCCAAATTCTCCCTACATTTCAGAATACAGGGAGGGCGTTGATGATGCCCCATCTCCTAAAGCCAGGATTTAAGATATTTGAGATAAACAAAATGGAACAAACTACCAGGAATACCCTTATTATAAACAGGCTTAGCTAACATTTTTTTAATTTCAAAACCTCCTTTTCATAACTGTCCATTCGACAAAACAGATTTCATCATCTATAATTCAAGTTGAGTATTTTATGAGCCACAAGTAACAATGCTGTAGGAATATTATCATGTAACAAACTAACCAATTATATTCAAGGTAATTTATATTTATAACATAAATAAAATTGGCTTCTCAAGATATAAGTTTTATTATTATTATAGTTATCATCATCATTTTACATTTTTGTTTACCATCATTTCTGATGAATATAGTGGACGTCTCAGTCGTCCAGTTGTATCTCTCCGCTCGGCATCCGTATACACCAAATTTATCTTGATCTGTATTTTGGAAAGTAACTCTTCCCGATACGTCAATCGTCGATCCTGGAGGCAACCCGCATGCTGCAGCACCATCATCCAGCGAACACCAGGTTGACTGCCTGTCCCCCGTATCCAAGTATATCGACCTCTGGAAGGACACCATGCTTGTGACGTCAGCCCCATTCAAGATGGCGGCGTAGGATGCTGAGGAGCTGGTATCGTAGATGGGGCTGAAGTTGATGCATGTCACATCCAGAATGTTTGCTGCAGGATGAAAGAAGTATCAAATGATTATTCATATACACGTAGTACGTAGTGTTTCCTTTTTTTGAAGCAAATGTTTGTTTCTTCATTTTTTTCTTCTCTTTCGTCGTTCTTTTTTTTTTCTCTCCTCGAGAATCGAAGTGGTCAATGTCGAACACATATTATATGAAGAAATCAACCAAACCAGTAAAGCAACAAAAAAAAGTCAATATTAACCTGTATTTTGGAAGATATAAATATAGCTCCCCTTTCTTTCTTTCTATCTCTCTCTCTCCCTTTCTCTCTCTCTCTCTCTCTCTCTCCCTTTCTCTCACTCTCTCTATTTCTCTCCATATCCATGCCAACACAAACACACCCTCTTGCACACCCGCACGCATGAAGGCCAACTGACACGGCAATAGAAAACGAATATCCAAGAATCTCTTTTAAATTACTGTGTATCTTGTGATATTTTTATATTCTTTTTACCAAAGTCGTACATGTTTAGCGTTAAGTGTTTCTAAAACATGTACAAATTTCATTTGGACTTAATGTTCATTTCCAGTATTTTTATAATAATGGACATTGCATTCAGGAAATTCCCTCTGAGCGCCATCTTAGAAATGAAATCATTGGATCATATCTCTTGGAGTACGATACAAACTTTCAAAGCAAATAAACGAGAAAAGAAAACATAATTTAGATCTAAGAACTTCATGAATTTTGTATAGATTCTAACATTTCATTTGCTTGCTAATAAACTGGAAAATTAAAAAGATTTGCAGCAGCCACGAAGACTATTCACCGATTGCAATAACATGTACAAGTTTGCTATGCTTTATATAAACATAACAGAAAACTAAAATTGAAGATGACAAAACGAACGTAAGTTTTAGGCAAATCAAACATGACATGTTTGTCGTCATAGTAGCAACGAAGATGTGCTTCAGGTGCATAGACGAGCTGTATCGTGTTCGTATCATATTCAATATTTGTTCATGATAAATAATCATGCATTCGATAAGAATGATCGAATAATGTAAACATATTATGTTTGGTATGTTTCATGGTACAAAGATCAAGGCGTTATTAATATGCATAGTGCAAGATATGAAGTAGCACATGCCCTAATACATAAGAAAGGTAGATGTGTTGTGGTCTAATGGATACGGCACAGGATTGTGGATCACATGGTTCGCGGTTCGAGTCCCTCCACTGCACTGATGTCCTTTGGCAAGTCCCATGAATTCACGTTTGCCACTCTCCACCAAAGTTTTAGATGGTTGGGGCTGTGAATCTTCATGTGGTTTGATTGGCATGTATGCACTTGTATGCTTGTATAATGGTGACTGGATTGAATATTCCCTAGGGAGGGGAGCGTGTGCGCTTTTATGTGTAGATTAACATTATTTAAATATTTCTTTTTGATTTTTATTTCTGCATTTTTCCAAATATAATAACTGAATAACAAAGAACATCATAAAACAAAATATACAAAAAATAACAATTTCATGTCAACTTTTTTTTTTTAAATATAGATTATGTACATAAATTATAATAACGAGACTTAATATTTCTGTAACATAATATTATGAATTTAAAGTATTATCCAAACTACCTGCTGAAAAAGTGCAGGAGGCCGCAATTATAAGCGATGCTTGACTAGGATGGCGGCCTCAAAAAAAAATTCATAAGGTAAAACCTAAAATGAAAAAGTGTTTAAACGATCTTTGTGTATGAGTTTGTGAGTGTGTTGTGTGTATATTGTGTCCATGGACCGGCGTAAATGATCAAAGTGGAAAGCGCTTAGAAACGTAAGCGCTATACAAAATCGACTATTTACTATCTTGTAAAACAATCACTTAAACCATTCGACCAAACACACACTAATATCGAAAGTGAGTGACTGTTAAGTATCGGATAGTAGTCACGTGATTACTTAAAGGGATATTTGAGTTTTGTTGCAAAGGACGCTACACAAAATATTGTTTTGTGAGATAATGAAAAACTGACTGTCAAATTTGAAAGAACATACAATTTAAATGACAAAATCATCATTGTTTGATCAAAATCAGTTTATAGACGGCTGAAATATCCATAAATATAACGATTTCTAATACTTGTGTACGACCACAAATATTTGATAATTTAAACCAGCCGTTGTAAGCCGTTGAAGAAAAAATAGCGCCTATTGCGTTGTATTTCAGCCAATGCCGATGTTGGCTTTTAGGTGGCTTTTTCGTGTTGGTTATATTACGTATGCTATTATAATAACGGTCACCGTATTTTTTGTTAAGTGGAGCTGAATTGGTATGATCGTATTGGCTAAATATCACACATTTTGGGGTCTAAAATTACCCTCTTAGCAATTTTAGGTCCTAAAAGAGCACTAGAAATGTCATAGATAAGAAAAAGAGCAATAACCATGTACTTTGAAACTCTGTACTCTGAAAACAGAACTCAACTATTCCTTTAATAATAGATTTCTAGAAAGGAGTTGAATATATAGGAATGATTGTATATTGAAAAGAAGGTTGAGTACTGTCAACGTTTGTGTGTAGTCCCATGTTCCCATTGTTTTTTACAGTGTATGTGACTTTCGGTTATTCCATAACATCAATGTGTAGGCCTACTTCAACTTTTATCCAATGTACAGTTTTTGTTAACAGTTTCTTTCTTAGCGGCGAATAATCTAACCACCAGTACTCACTTTTATATGTAAGCGATTAACGGACATCTATGTCAATTTCATCAAATCTTCCTGAAAATTGAAAAACAATTTAAAGCCCTTCCTTTCTTTTCTCAATCCCCTCCCTCTATCTCTCTCTCTCTCTCTCTCTCTACCTTTAATTATGTTGTCACATATACGCACTCTTCTAATACCTTTCAAACTATTCCGTACCCTCTCTTTCCAGACTATGTCTCCCTCTATGTCTCTCTTTCTATCTATTTACCCCTCTATGAAATCATTGGATCATATCTCTTGGAGTACGATACAAACTTTCAAAGCAAATAAACGAGAAAAGAAAACATAATTTAGATCTAAGAACTTCATGAATTTTGTATAGATTCTAACATTTCATTTGCTTGCTAATAAACTGGAAAATTAAAAAGATTTGCAGCAGCCACGAAGACTATTCACCGATTGCAATAACATGTACAAGTTTGCTATGCTTTATATAAACATAACAGAAAAACTAAAATTGAAGATGACAAAACGAACGTAAGTTTTAGGCAAATCAAACATGACATGTTTGTCGTCATAGTAGCAACGAAGATGTGCTTCAGGTGCATAGACGAGCTGTATCGTGTTCGTATCATATTCAATATTTGTTCATGATAAATAATCATGCATTCGATAAGAATGATCGAATAATGTAAACATATTATGTTTGGTATGTTTCATGGTACAAAGATCAAGGCGTTATTACTATGCATAGTGCAAGATACGAAGTAGCACATGCCCTAATACATAAGAAAGGTAGATGTGTTGTGGTCTAATGGATACGGCACAGGATTGTGGATCACATGGTTCGCGGTTCGAGTCCCTCCACTGCGCTGATGTCCTTTGGCAAGTCCCATGAATTCACGTTTGCCACTCTCCACCAAAGTTTTAGATGGTTGGGGCTGTGAATCTTCATGTGGTTTGATTGGCATGTATGCACTTGTATGCTTGTATAATGGTGACTGGATTGAATATTCCCTAGGGAGGGGAGCGTGTGCGCTTTTATGTGTAGATTAACATTATTTAAATATTTCTTTTTGATTTTTATTTCTGCATTTTTCCAAATATAATAACTGAATAACAAAGAACATCATAAAACAAAATATACAAAAAATAACAATTTCATGTCAACTTTTTTTTTTTAAATATAGATTATGTACATAAATTATAATAACGAGACTTAATATTTCTGTAACATAATATTATGAATTTAAAGTATTATCCAAACTACCTGCTGAAAAAGTGCAGGAGGCCGCAATTATAAGCGATGCTTGACTAGGATGGCGGCCTCAAAAAAAAATTCATAAGGTAAAACCTAAAATGAAAAAGTGTTTAAACGATCTTTGTGTATGAGTTTGTGAGTGTGTTGTGTGTATATTGTGTCCATGGACCGGCGTAAATGATCAAAGTGGAAAGCGCTTAGAAACGTAAGCGCTATACAAAATCGACTATTTACTATCTTGTAAAACAATCACTTAAACCATTCGACCAAACACACACTAATATCGAAAGTGAGTGACTGTTAAGTATCGGATAGTAGTCACGTGATTACTTAAAGGGATATTTGAGTTTTGTTGCAAAGGACGCTACACAAAATATTTTTTTGTGAGATAATGAAAAACTGACTGTCAAATTTGAAAGAACATACAATTTAAATGACAAAATCATCATTGTTTGATCAAAATCAGTTTATAGACGGCTGAAATATCCATAAATATAACGATTTCTAATACTTGTGTACGACCACAAATATTTGATAATTTAAACCAGCCGTTGTAAGCCGTTGAAGAAAAAATAGCGCCTATTGCGTTGTATTTCAGCCAATGCCGATGTTGGCTTTTAGGTGGCTTTTTCGTGTTGGTTATATTACGTATGCTATTATAATAACGGTCACCGTATTTTTTGTTAAGTGGAGCTGAATTGGTATGATCGTATTGGCTAAATATCACACATTTTGGGGTCTAAAATTACCCTCTTAGCAATTTTAGGTCCTAAAAGAGCACTAGAAATGTCATAGATAAGAAAAAGAGCAATAACCATGTACTTTGAAACTCTGTACTCTGAAAACAGAACCCAACTATTCCTTTAATAATAGTTTTCTAGAAAGGAGTTGAATATATAGGAATGATTGTATATTGAAAAGAAGGTTGAGTACTGTCAACGTTTGTGTGTAGTCCCATGTTCCCATTGTTTTTTACAGTGTATGTGACTTTCGGTTATTCCATAACATCAATGTGTAGGCCTACTTCAACTTTTATCCAATGTACAGTTTTTGTTAACAGTTTCTTTCTTAGCGGCGAATAATCTAACCACCAGTACTCACTTTTATATGTAAGCGATTAACGGACATCTATGT